GATACAGATGGGTGTACCGACCCAACAGGCAAAATGATCATGGATATGTGTGAAAGGCATTATTTGATTATTTGCAACAGTGCCGATAGGTGTGAAACGAAAATATCATGGGAGGTAGGAAGGCTGCAGTCGACGATAGAATACGCACTGATGTCACGTAGTATGTATGAGAAGCTCAGGGAAACGCACATAGATGAAGGTGGCTCCAGAAGACTGAATAGTGATCACAAACGTATCAAGCTAAGTTTTGGAAAAGCAGAGAAAGTGCGAAGGAGATAAATGAACAAATACAGGAAAATTTTTATACAGAAGGGCAAATAGAATTAGCTACTAAATAAAGTAAGAAAGTAATCACTGAGGATAATAAAACAGTGTACACATACACAAATCTAATTAGACTCTTTGAGCTAGAGCTTGCTAAGGCACGTGACAAGTCACCCCGAAAAAGAAGACACAAACCCAAGAGTTTGTGGGGTGAGGAAGGTAAGAGAGCCACAGCAAAACATCAGGAAGCCTCTAGAGAACACAGACATGCTAAGCAGCGTGGTGAACCGACGGATGATGTTGAAAAAAATGGGAAATCTTTCTAAGCTGTAGAAGAGATGCATCCCTTCGGATCAATCAAAAGATTAGAAAAAGGGAAGCTCAGTGGCTGACAGAAGTACTTAAAAAAGATAGAAAGGCTGCTGCGAAACTTAGGAACCATCTAAACGCCCTAAGAAAGGAGACGAACCTAGAGCAGAGATTCACTACTACAGTTCAAGGTACTAGGCTAGAAGGGGACGAAGCTATTGAATATATAAGAACAAGGGTGACAGAAAAATTTCAACAAAGAAGTGCTTTATGCTCCACAATAAACAAGGATGAATCAAGTGGTGAAATGGCTCCTCTTTTTAAGCCAGAATTGGAAAGGGCTGAGAAGAGGGATCCTGGTAGTGCATCAACAGCCCAAGATGGCATTCCCATTATGCAGACATTAGGTCCGAAGTCTAAGCAGGTTTTGAAAGATGCATTGAGCAAAATAATAATCGATGGTTAAGTCCCCGATGGACGAAAACTAAGCAGACTGTGCATGATTTATAAAGGAAATGGAAACAAAGCTGACATAATCAACTACCGTCCTATAACAGTGACATCAGTGGTCTACAGGCTCCCGATGCAGATGGTAAGGGAAAGGCTGCAGGCGTGGATAGAGGATGAGGGGGTGCTGGGGAACTGCAGAATGGGTTTCGAAAACACAAGAATTTGGAAGACGATCTCTTCTCACTGACGCAGTGCATCGAAATAGCAGAAAAAGAACACATGCCCCTGTGGCTAGCATTTTTGGATATCAAAGGAGCGTACGATAGCATGGTTCAAGAGGACTTGTGGGAAATACAGGACACACAAGGTGTGGAAGATGGAGTCACTAATGTTTTAAAGGATATCTACAAATGTAGCAATGCAGTTATAAAGTGGGAAAAACACGTATCCAAGCCTGCAGAGGTAATACGGGGGCTTAGGCAGGGATGTCCTCTGTCAACCTCATTATTCATGATGTACCTACGAGGATCACCGGCCAAGCTAGAGGGAAGTGGACTGGGCTTCAACCTCTCTGTCGTCAAACAAGGAACACTCATTGACAGGCACTACCAGCATTGATGTAGGCAGAATATATAGTGCTAATAGCCGACAACAAGGAAGATTTGCAGAGATTGATGGACATCTGCGCTAATGAGGGAGATAGGTTAGATTTCAGATCCAGTAAGAAAAAATCAGCAGTCGTGATTTTTAATGATAATGAAAGTAGTGAGCTTAGAATACAGGATGTCACGCTAGAGATGACAGATAAATACATATATCTGGGCGTATGGATAAGCCTGAGGCCGAGTACCTCAGGTGACACGAAATATACGTGACGACTAAAGGTAACAGGAATGCAGTGGTGATGAAAAACAGGGCACTGTGGAAATACAATAGGTATGTTGTTGTGAGAGAATTATGGAAAGGGGTCATGGTTCCTGGGCTGACGTTCTGAAATGCGATCTTGTGCATGAGATCAGAAGTTCATGCAAGATTAAAAATTAAGCAACGTGGAATAGGTAGGCTTGCCTTAGGAGCTCACGGGAATACACCAAATCAGGAAGTACAAGGTGTTATGTGATAGACATCATTTGAGGGCAGGGAAGCTAGCAGCAAGATAAAATTTGAGAAGTGATTCAGAGAAATGGGGGAGGAGCGTTGGGCTAGGAAGGTATTCAGCTACTTGTACATGAAGAATGTCGATACGAAATGGAGGAAGCGAACCAGGAAATTGACTGGTAAATACTTAAAAAATTGGAGGGGCCAAACCAAAAAGAATTATTACTTAAGAAGAAGGCAAAAGAAGCTGAGACCGATTTGTTGAGAATTGACATGATTAAGAAGTCAGCACTAGAGATCTATCAAACTTTTAGGCAGGAAATCACCAAGGAAAGGGTCTACGATAATACTCGGGGTAGTTCTCTACTGTTTGAGGCCAGGACGGGAGTATTGCGAACCAAGACATATCGGGCCAAATACGAAGGGGTAGACACGGTATGCAGTGCGTGTGGAGAGGAAGAGGAAACTGCCGAAATCTTGATATTGTTCTGTAAGGGGCTTAACCCTTAGGGCTTCACCCCCAGTTCAGGATGATGGCGCATAGTTTTTCAAAGCACTTGGGTTTAGGGATAGGGAGGGCAAAATAGACTTTAGGCGGGTAGAATTAACAAAAAGGAGGTTATCTGATTGGTGGCTAAAGTCAAGGCACGAGTGAAAATTAAACCCTTCACTGCAATGCACGAGTCCTCGGCCTCACTATTGAAAGGAAACAAAATCAATTTTTTGGTTCTCAAAATATTACGGCTTGGTGGCGTGAGCCACCGCCCGATCTAAAGGGTACAGCCATATCAATTCATTCATTCATGATGTGACGATGCGCTCGTTTGCCTCCACTGCACGCTCGAGTTACTCTAACGCAGCGCCTGCAGAATACCACTCACCGATTTTCTTGCGCAGAACATCAAATAAATGTCTTGTTTACTCTCTCCACACGCAAGACTATCGTGTTTCGACGACGTTCGCAGAAACATGCCGATACGGGGCGAATTTTTTTTTCATTCAGCGAGCAGTGGTATATCTTGCAGTCAATCGGAGAATCGGTGGTGACTGGTGATGGTGCACGCCTATACGAGTTAACCGTGAACATCAGGGCTACTATCATTGTTCGGCCGTTTCCACAAAATGTGCACCCAGTGCATAATGTAGGGAGGCGAACGGCGAGAGATAGGGCTTTGTTGCGCGAAGCAAAGGATCAGGAGGAAGAGTCTGCGTTTGTTGACGCAGCATGGATTAACGGGAAAGATGCTTACTCGGTGGTGGTGGCAGATGAAAAATGCAGCATTCGAAAGACCAAAAGACCACTTCTAATTATACGAAAGATCCGGGGGTTGCAGAGCAGGTGGCTATTTCCCTAGCACTCATTGATTCGGAAAGAGAGTTAGTATTTAGTGATTCTCGCTCGGCAATTGAAGCCTTCTCGAGGAGAGTTATTAGCGAAGCGGCTTACAAACTGCTGCACGGTAGGGACATCACTCCGGATACCATTACTTGGTTTATGACAGGCATGGTGTCAGTGGAGGGAACCCCACGTAGCATCAATAAGGTGGCACACAGGGATGCACGAGGATGAGTGTGCTGTGGAATCCCTAAGGTGGCTGAATATCCATCTCCGGAGTTTAGAGAACAGCTGTTGACGTACAACGACGTAACCAAACATTATTACTTGGAGCGCAGGGAATCCGCCTTGCCTTATTTATTCTAGACTTAACAGGCCTCAGGCGGTTACATTAAGACTTCTGCAGACGCGGACGTACCCCAACTCGGTTATCATGAATAAAATTATCCTGGACTGCGGGGTTTCAATTTATTGTAGTAAGTGTGGGGGCTTGCTCAATTTTGCACGCATGCTCTGGCGCTGCTCAGCAATAGCCGGTGTGGCTTCTCACGGTTAACAGTGCTGGCAGCGAATGCCGCACACTGACGCACTGGCGGACCAACTCAGGATTGTCCAGAGGGCCTGTGTGTTTGCAGAGGGGCTTGGCCTCTCTGTCTCAACGTGGGAGCAGCCCGCATCAGTCCCTGACTGATCCTCAGGACTTAAATAAAGTTCTCCCTACCATACCATACTGTGAACCGGCATATATAATGGTAGTCACCGCATGCTTACAGGAGGTTCCCAGGGCACAAGAGTAGATAAGGTTCTCAATAAGAGTTTTTGGGGAATATTTGAGTAACCTACGATTCTCTGATGACGTAGCAATAGTGAGTAAATCAGAGGACAAAACAAACCTCATGAACAGGGATATAAATACGGTAAGCAGAAGTGTAGGGCTGGAAATAATATTCATAAGGCTGAATTATAGTACTCGGTGGTGGTGGCAGTGGTGGGGTTGCGGGCAGAGATCAGAGCTTTACGATAAGCAGCGAGACACTGGAAGTTGTAAAGAAATATGTTTACTCAGGACAGTGAGTAGCCACGAAACCAAACCATGCAAGCGAAAGAACCAGAGGTGTAAGGAAGGTATGGAGCCCAGTTGGCACACGTTCTCAAATAATGACTGGTGACTCAAATAAGATGCAATGAGCAACTGAAAGAAAACTGATGGGTGTAACCTTAAGAGACCGGAATGAAGTAATGTGTGTGAGGGAAAGAACAGAGGTGAATGATAAAATGGTTGAAATCAACTGAACTGAGTATGGCTGGGACACGTAGTGTCTAGGAAGGATAAGCACAGGTCATCAAGGGTAACTGACTGAATTGCAAAAGAAGGTGTACGCGCGAAACGGAGACAGAAAATTTCGTGGACAAATGATGATAAGAAGTCGGCAGGTATAACGTTGAGCAGCAATCAGCAGACCGCGGTATTTTGCGGAATGAGGAAGACACCGTTGCCCTGCAGTGAGCGCAGTCACGCTAATGAAGATGTTGGGTAACTTACCGATGATGCAAGTTCGTTCATTTGTTCGGGATATGGAACTTCAAGGGCTTTGAGGAACTTCAAAGCCCACTTCTGGCAATTATTCTGCACGAGGCAGTATGTTGTACGTTTATTCATTTCCAAAAAGATCGCTGTGACTTGAGGCTCAGTGAGGAAATATTTTCCAAGGCTCTTCTGCGAAAAAAAAACAACATTTCCGCATATTCAATAGAGTGGAACATCATAGAGAAAAGTGAATCAAACAACTATAGCACGGATATGACTTGTGTCCAGCGTATGCCAAGGTTACTACGTTGCTGAAGCCACCTAGTCGCAGCTAGTTTAATACACAGTTCTTTGCCACATGAAAATAAATAAAAAATAGACGTGTCATAGAGTGAGTTCCTGTGTGAAAATTTAGCAGTATTAAAGAGACTGTTTTTAAGCAAGGATGCATGAATTACTCGTTTACATTAAAAACACAACAATTTTGTTCACGGCACACGCCTTAAGTGTTTCAGAATGAATCTGTGACTGATTGCTAGGTACGCTTATATTCATTTTTGTTAACATTTTCAACAGGCGCACATGAAAAGTTTTCACTCAACCTCTGACGCAATAACCTCAGAATGGGAAGACATAGCTACAGATGACAGCATTCGTCAGCTGCACTCTGTTTCTGTTCCTCTCTTGGATACGAGGGTCAATCTAGAAATAGTGTTTCCAAAAAACTGCAGAAGCATGAGAAGGTGCGGGAGTAAATCCTGCTCTGCATGTCTATTTCTCTACTCACGATGCCGGCCGCCCGCACTTTGATGCACCGCTAAGTTGTGACTCAGGAGCCATGCGAGAGATGTATGTGTCCATTGTTGACCAAGTCAAATACGAGATGCGTTTATTCATGCACGTTTTAATGCAAAACAGACTTCCCTTGTAGATATTCAACGTCTGTTCAGGAATGCATACGGCCACAATTGAGCGTCTGGTGAACACATCTAAAAGTCGCATCTTAAGTTCCAGAACCATATAAGTAGCCAACGCTCACGGAGCAAAGACGAACTCGAAAGTGGTGAAAAGTTTCATCTTCAAATTTGGGGTGGAGTTTTATAGCATCATACTGCATATGAAGTGACGCCTGTATCGGGCACGTGTGCTAATTGTACCGGCGCGAATGCGCATCAGTGATGCGCAGTCTGTTCAAGTGCGTTCATCGGTGCCTTTATAAGCTGAGCCCAAATAAACAGCGTCGTCTTTCTTGCACCGACCATGCTGCTTTCAGCGTCGTCCATATGCTCGTAGCGCAAGCCATACATGGTATCAGAAGCGGCCCCTTGACCCCGGAGGGAACCGTCCTCGCGTCTGCTACTTCAAGGATATTCTGAAGACTCCGGAGCCAGTGCGGCTGTCCGGTAATGTCACGGAAAACTGGAAGTGGTTTAAGCAGAAGTTTGAATTATTTTTTTCCAGGCAACGGCCTGCAAAAATAATTGAAGCAGCTGAAAACGGAAGCATCAAAGGCGGCGCTACTGCTGAGCATTGCCGGTGACGACGTGTCGGACGTCTTCAACAACTTCGAGTTCGGGCCGAACGAGGACAAGAACGACTACAGCACCGTGGTGAGTAAGTTTGATGCCTATCGCGCCGAAGTTAGCAATGAAGTGCACGAGAGATATGTATTCGGTTTAAGAAAGCAGGCGGAAGGGGTACCATTGTAATAAAGTTGTAATACCACAAAGTATGCATCAGTGCATGCTGAAGAGTTCATGCTGGTCACTTTGTGCTGCAGAAGTGTAAAGAGAGGACTCGAACACTTCTGTTTTGGCCCAGATTGAACGGCGACATCACAGCGGTGGTTGACGGCTGCGCAGCGTGCAGAAAATACGCGTACAGCACGCGGCAGCCACAGGAACCACTACTAATGCGAGAAGTACCGAAATGTGCCTGGTACAGGGTCAGAGTTGACATATTTGCTTATGCTGGAAGGTCATACGTCATTGCCTACGACGCCTTTTAAAATTTTCCCAAGGTTGCACGGTTGCAAAGCTCGAACACACAAATGCGGCAACCACGACCACCGCTCTTAGCGCTATGTTCGCCCGGTACAAGGTACCAGTAGAAGTTTGTATGGGTAACGGACCCCCGTTCTCTGGCCACGAATTTACCAGCTTAGCCAAGAGATACGACTTTAAGCATGTAACCTCAAGCCGCCCTTACGCGCAGTCGAACGGCTTGGCGGAGAAGGGTGTGCCAATCGTAAAACAAATCGTGAAAAAAAAAACTGCAAAGGCGAAGGAAGACTTCTGGCTGGGTCTCCTAGCCTAGCGATCAGCACGCCCTAAAAAGGGGGGGAGGTTTCCAGGTGCACTTCTGCAACGAAGGATACTTCGTTCTAACCTTCCGACTTTCGCACAGTGTCCCGTACAATTGTGACCAAGCACCGCCTAGACAAAGCTGGTAAACCTTTGGTAGTACTACAGAAGGGAACAACTGTCCGGCTTTAGCGTGCTGCTGGCTGCTCGCGAAGGTGGAAGGTGGACGCAGAAACTCCTCCACGATCCTACCTGGTAAAAATTCGGGATCTTCGCGTGATGCGGCGAAATCGCCGACATCTCATCAGGACAGAGGAACGGTTGACAGTGATCAGTCACTTCGACGAGACTCCCACAATATAGATTCCCATTCACCGGAAACTACTGCAGCCTCAGAATAAATTGCTCAAGCAGGCGAAGCGACATCGCCAGAACCACCCGAGGGAACAACACTACTAGCAAGCATAGATGGTTCTTCGACGGACATCCCGTCGCTGCCATTTCCCAGAAGGTCGACGCGTGCCACCCGCTCCCCACAGCGACTGCGTTATGACGAACATTTCAATCAAGTGCCACAAACTGTGGCGAATGGTTCTTGTTATCAAAGTGTTTCTTTTGTTTTGTGCCACGAGAGAGGATGTATCGGGCACGTGTGCTGATTGTATCGGCGCGAATCCATGTCAGTGATGCGTATTCTGTTCAAGTGCGGTCGCCGGTGCCTTCATAAGCTGAGCCCCAATAAACACTGTCGTCTTTCTTGCAGCGACCATGCTGCTGTCAACGTCGTCCATGGCGTCCGTGCTCGTGGCGCTGGCCATACAACGTCTGCAAAAATGCGCAAAAAAGTTTGACAAACGTGTTGAAAAAGTCACAGCTTTGCCACAAAGGCGAAGCAATTAACACGCTAGCAACAATTTGAAAGGTCACGCGCACAATGGAAAGTAGATCGAAGCGCTCCCCGCGTTTCTGGCGCACAAATTACGCACGAAACTTACTCACAGGTACGGATGCACGCGAATCCGCGTCTCATTTGTTACTTTGTCGAGTCTGAAAAGTGCACGCCTTTTGCGAACGGAGACTGCAATGATTGCAATGATTGCTCCTCCTCTTTAATCCGGGTAAACTACGCGTAGGAGATTAGAGCAGGCACTGCTGCGTGATGTAGTGACGCGCGCTCTTTGCGCCATCTTTCTGGTAATGCCAAAAAAACAGCAGCGGTAAGTGGTAAATATAAATCTCTTGCCGTTTGAACAGTAAACAAGATTTCCTGGGGTAGCCCAAAGCTCAACGCCTCGCATTCACGACGCAGAGGTCCCGCGTTTGATTCCGCGCGCCGGAAAGTTTCTCACTGTATATTTTTCTTTCTTCCGTTTTCACCTATATAGATATGTATACATATACGATAAATATACCGTATAGGTATGCGGTATGTATACGTATGCAGACACGTATACATATACGACGACGCCGACGCCAGCAGTAAAAATCAGCCGAGAGTGCCGATATAATTTATAACACAATAAAATAGAAAAAAGTGTCTTCTTTTCATTACTCAAGAAACACTTGTTTTCAAGGGCGCATATCGCGAAAAAAATTAATGATCTCATTTGTGTGTAACATTCTTTGGAACCTTTTTCCTGCATCAAGCCTCGTATTGTTCTCGTTGCGATGCGATAGTATGTTGTAGTTAGATAGTGTCAGAAGCAAAACGCGTGTTCTCTGTGAATAAGTCTGTACCTATGTAGCTTGGAGTGGAGAGCTTAGCCAGACTCGTGCCGGCTTTTAAGGAGCGAACCGGAAAGAAATGAGTAGGGTGAACTCCGGCTCATTTGAAAAAAATTCTTTTCTACCAGCTGGATCTAGTGGCTTATTATAATATTTTTAATATAACCCTGAGAAAAAGAGGTACGAATTTTTCTTCTCTAGCTGACGGCTGAACGAATCATCATAGTGTATGTTGGATCAGTCACCTCAACGATTGCCTAAGCAAAAGTATTCGGAGCCTCTCTGTAGACTATGGAGAAATGCCGAATCAACTTTGCTATTGTGTTTGTAGTTCACTGCCACTGGTGCAGCAAACTGACAGCGTTGGGTTGTACAAGTTTTTCTTCCCGGTCGCGTGAAGGGAAAAATGTACCATCATTCGCTGTAGGGAATGCTGTGCAGATGTGAAGCAGCTGGCGCTAACGTTCACACTGTCGGCGGCGTTGACGCTGACGCTCATGACAGTGTTGCACAGGAGGGAAACCTGGGGAGGTGCAAAGCACGCAGTGATGGACCGGGGTTTCTTACTGGAAGATGCCAATCGCTGCTAATGAAGAATAAGAGACAGAAGGCGCTGATTAGGCAGTTAGACCAACTATGCACTTATACGTAACGCGCACGATGCGAATTTTTTTGTTCAGTGACGCACACGAGTAATCTTTTAGTGGTACTACCACGGAGGTCCGGATACAGTGTCGATATACACGGGGTGGTCAGTGATTGATATGTGGGGTTTACAGTCCCAAAAGGGTGGTCAGTGAACCGTTGCACAGTGCAAGCAGTAAATTATTTCAAACCAAGAAATTCTCTAACAGACGCTGCCTGCGTCAGCATTCCGAGGCTAGAAATGGGTAGCGTAGAATATAAATTGAGGAGGAGGGCACGCAGGCACAACGGGCATGTAAATGCTGTGGGGAAAGATGTCAAGAGGAAAGAGAGAGAGAAGCAATCGTTAGCGAGCAAATGGTGCGTGGGCGTTGCCAGGAAAGAGAGGGGGAGCAGGAAAAACTGGCAGCATATCCACGGGGTGAATGATGGAGAGTGAAGCATCCGTCCGTCCATTCGTTCTTGCTTACGTCCGTCCATGCGTCTGTCTGTGTGACCGTCCATGCGTCCATCCGCCAATCCGTGCGTGCATCTGTTCGTGTGTCCGTCCCTGCGTTCGACCATGCATCCATCACTGCGTTCGTCCAAGCATCCGTCACTGCGTTCGTCCATGCATCCGCCCCTGCGCCCGTCCTTGCGTCCGTTCAACCATGCAGCCATCTGTGCATCCGTACATGCATCTCTCTGTGTGTCCATTCATTCAATTAGTCAACACTCCAAGTACCACCATCTCGAACTTTTCTTCATATATTCCGCATATAGAAGCACCGACATCCAGCGGACATTCCAAGGACTAAATCAGAGGTGGCACACACACACTTTCTTACGGCTTGCACTCCATATCTACTTCCCACCTTTAACCACCTCGAGTTCATGGTATATACTAGTTTACTGTATTCATGGCACTGCGGCCCAACGCTTACTAAACCCTTCTAAAATCAAGAAGGTTACGCCTAGCGAGTATTACCTAGCAACCCTTTCTTGTCAGATAGAGCTCAATGTACAAGCCAATGGCTGCTAATGGGGAATGAGAGACAGGAGAATTCGGCTTTTAGTTAACGCGCACGCTGCGAATTTTTCATTGTTTAACAACGCACAGGAGAAATCTCCAACCGGCACCACTTTGCAGGTCAAATCATAAGACTGGTTACGCACTACGACTACAACGAAGAACGAATGGGTGCCGCTTTAAAGAGCTTCGCCTCTGAAAGAGGGCAGAGGACACGTATGTGCAGCAAGGCAGCGACGCCACACTCCAGGTTCAGCTGGGTTCTAAATATTTTCGAATCTCTGAGCGTTATTGATGGATGAAGGCCGTTAGCCATATTCAGTAAGAGAATACTCGCATGCAGAGAGAAGCTAATAAGGGGTTCTGTTATTAATGTGAAAACGTGCAAACCTTGAATAAAACGATAACTGCGAAGTTAAGCAGAATCTCTGGCCGCAGGCCACACGGTGTGACACGAAGTGATCTGCTAAAGGCAGGCTGAAGATTAAGTTAGTATACAGGACGCTCTCCGTGACCTCTCATAATCTGAACCGGTATGTTCGCGGACAACTTGTTTTCACAGTGAAAAAAAAAACAGTTAAGAGGTGGAGCTTCTGCACTTGTGTTCCTGCACAAAGTATTCTAGTTCGGCACGCACAACCTACTGCTAGGAAAAGTATTTGCTGTAAAGAATCCACGTAGCAATTTTTTTGTATTTTAAAATAGATGCCACTCAGCGTTTTATTACGGGAAATAGGCGCACTTTTTCAAACCTGTAAGACTCAAAATTACGATAAGAAATGTAAATAAAGTACGAAACATGGCAGATTCCACATACAGTGGAAATCTATGATATGTGAAGCATGGATGAGAAATATTGAGACGTCATTTTAAAATTAGCAGAACGTTGCGCGGTGAGGGTAAATAATGCCGTACATGGCGTCCGTGTAATGAATATAATGTTCAGATGTGTCGTATACCTTCGTCATCTACTCATGTCCTGTGAAACCAAATTTAGTTTACGTGAGCTAGGAAAATGGCAGCGAGCACGCTATGAGCGTGGTATGTCGTCATGTTCTTACATGACAGGCGTGTCAGGATTATCATGTTTGCACCAGTCATATATTTCGTCATCCAACGACGTCGCGTAACACCAATTTTGGTATATGTAGAGCTGGCAAAACGCCTGCGGGCGCATTATGAAGGGCCCAATGTATTCCAATGTAGCATTGACGCGCGTGCACGCTGGGCACAGTGACGCAGAGTTAGCAAAACGCGAGCACTCTATAGTCTGACGCCAGGCGTGATTGGCGTGACAAGCGTCCATCGGCATCGCGCCTGGCGCCAACGGACGCGCCGATGCTTTACCCAGACAACCCTGCGTCTCTCTTTTTGTCACAGAGGAACACCGGACGCGCTGAAACGCGCATGCATCAAAGAAACGCAGCGTGGCGAGCGCCTGCGAGTATATGGCAGGACCGGCGCCTGGCGTCGCAACACTGGCGTCGCTACGATGGCGTGACGCGTCGAAACGAACGCCGGTGAGCATGCACACCGCACCACATTGAAATGTATTGGCACCTTGACTGTGGCATGTAGTCATGTTCTCAGATGGCACGCATCTCATAATTATTATGTTAGCACCAGGCACATACTTTCGTGATTTATTGGTGTCACGTAATACGGAATTCGGCATAAGTGAAGCTAGGGAAACGGCCACAAGCGCATCATCAGTGAATTATGCTGTCATGTTGTTAGATCACACGCATGTCGTGATTATAATGTTGGGATGTGTAATTTACCA